CTGCTTTCGCATCAGATAGCACGCGTACACCGGGATGTCAAACTTCAATGTGTGTACAATAGTTTGTCACGGGCAACGTTTGTTCACAAAATAGCCCTTTTATAGTTGCTGGCTACCTTACTTAGCGGGACTTTTGTATAAATCGGAGTTATAGTAGTAGATATTGTCCTAATTCGTCATCTCATAATTTAGTATGGGATCTTACTATGCCGTCGATGCCTTACATTTTCGACGCATGTCCTTCAAACGTTTGAAGGAATTATGATCCTGTTCGTGTCTCGACGGTTTATCTTGGATTACATGCAGTTTTAATGTATTTAATGCGATACAACAAACAGGTGAAACAGAGACAATTTTCAGTTTTTGTGTATTCAGCTTTTAGCATGATCGTGTCCTCGAAATTCCCAATTTACAAGAGAAACTGTGTCATAGTTCATAATTTGCCGCAGATTTTTCTCCTCCCTGTACATTCTCTCTCACTCTGGGAGTCGAGCAACCAACAAGTTGGTACCTTACCGCTTCCTGCGGCTTGGGATTGCACAAGAATCTCAGACCTTTGACACGGGCTTGAATCAGCTTTCGATGGAGCAAGATCCACCGGTACAACAAGGTTCTGGTGCAAGCTTCAGCCACGTCGCAGGCCCTATGTCTCTATCCAACGCCATGGAGCGACTCATCCGGTGGCCGGAAGTTATCCCTCTGCCTAATCTCGAGGCTTCCACAGTAGTCAAGGCTTTCCTCAGTCGCTGAGTTGCCATCTTTGGCGCTCCCTCCAAAGTCACGACTGATCGCGTTGTCCAATTTGAGTCGAACTTGTTCCATCCTCTTCTCTCTTTTTAGGTTTTATTCACGTCGCATTACAGCCTATCACCTGGTCGCCAATCGGATAGTCGAGCGGATTCACCGCTAACTGGAGGCTTCCCTACGCACCGCGGCCGACTCGGAAAACTAGAAGGACCATCGCTCCGTGGTCCTGTTGGGTATCGGGGTATTGAGTACTGTAGT